TGAATCATAGCAGTAAGCGTTCATTTGGAAGAGAAATTTAACCAGCTACTTGGTGCACATCGCTACTTATGTATTTCTGTTCATTCGTGCAAAGTAAATTCTTTTCATGCCCCGAAAAATAGTATATTCTGCGTCTCTGGTGGTAAGCGGTCAAATTTGACAGCGCACAATCGGTTCCACATACTATTTCTTCCTATACAGCACATGTTGTCTTTGGAAACCAGTCTAAGGGCTGTTTGGATAACTTCGCAGCTCACAGATCTTCACAGAGTTTGATTTTTTAAGTGACTGCTTTCAGTGTCGTTTTTTATTATTTATAAATAATTTTTCACACTGAAGTTTTTTCTGAATTGCAGCTTTGTTCCGCTTTGATGTTCCTCCCGCTGTCTTCGGAACTTTCACGTGCAAAAGATGCTTTTTTCTGTTCATCCAGATAAATTGCTCAGAAATTGTTCACCTAAGAATTCATGCCTCTGTGGAACCTTGCTAGTTGCGAATTCACTGATATTTTTGGCCTCATGGATTTAAAATAGCGATTTTAACGAAGAAAACCTTTTCAATCGATTCAATTTCATCAAACGGCATCAGAAGCACTTTTTTTCGTCCATCCTTCTTGCGGCTGTGTCGAAACATCAGCTCTCTTTAATAAAAATGCTTTCATTATTTAGCTGCAAAAATTGTTCCACATGCGCTCATTGGCTTCGAGTTGGCGGTGATAGGCCAAAGTGGTCTTAAATTCTGCCCAGGGGTGTATCTTGCTCAGATGTCCTGATCGGCTGTTCCTCCCCAGTGGTTGTAGATGAATTTACCCTGTCACTAAAGCCAACTCCCGGTAAGCTGGTGGTTGTCGTCGTCGACGCTGCGCAGCTTGTTTGAGATTCACACTGTCCTGTCTGTTTACCTGACTTTTCTAATGAAAAGCCAATGAAAAGCCATGTCGGTATACCTTCTGTCGGGCAGAACCCGTGTAACATTCCCTCTTGCACAAAGGGATGATTTATTGTCCGCAATCCTAAGGTACACAGCAAGAATGAGGACGTTTGGTTAAAAAAATATCGGGTAAACAATTAAAGCAACTGTCAATGCAGGGGACGTCTAGCTGGCATATAATCAATTTATAGCACTGCTACGGCCAGCAAAAACGCATATTGTCGAGGGGCTGTGTGTGTGTGTGTATGTGTGTTCGGAAACCGAGTGCATTTTGTCACCCACTTTCTTCTCAGCAACCAAGAAAGCTGGGAGGCTGAAACTTTGGATATATGTTCCTACCCCATGTGTCATCCTCCCGTTTTAAGATCTTTCTCTATACGGGCCTAGAAGCCGCGTACGGGACCCCCAAAGAAATATGTTGGTGGGAAGCGATTTCGCGAACCAGACAACGTAGAAAGCTGAAACTTTGCAGGGATATTCTCTATGCACGTACGAGCTAAAGATTTTAAACTCAGCTATCGAGCACCCCAACCACAGCCTCAAGCAGCTCCTCAACCCAAAAATCGTTCGCAACTCCGACCTGAACCGCAATCGTATTTGTAAATGAACATGGATTTTTTGACAAAGCACGGTCAGTATGATCCAAGTGTTAGGCTACGGCGTGGGGATCATTCTTGCTAATAGCGATCTGCTAGTTTAGTGCAAAAACGCATGATCGTACCGGAGAGCCTGATGCGTTTCAGCCTGGGTTTATCCTGGTTCATGTATCACGCAGTCTTCACTGTGCGGAGGCAACGTGCAGTACCTTTTTTACCAATAGTGATTGAAATTCCCGTTTTACATTGCCAGCACTTGGCGTCTGGTAATTACGTGAAAGAAAAGCTGGATCCTCCGCCTGTAGCGAACGACTCACACGGCTCAGAACAGATTGTTACAATTTCTGCTTTTCCAAATAGAAATACCAGTGGTCCCCACTTGCGTTTTAATCGAAGCTAGAAATTGCATTCAAAATCGATGCTTTCGTCGCAAACTTATTTAATGTAAAGATTTTTGTGCGTGAAAAAGTTGCTCGAATGAATTGTGTGGGATGCAGAATGTTGTATTTTGAAAGATACTGCAAAGAAGCGGGCACTGATTGGTCACTGGATTTGATGCAGTCCTCTCATGCGACGCCTCAGTGCCCTATGTGCAAATACAGAGAGTTTTTCGTGACAGCTACGAAATAGAAAACATACGTTTCAGTGAGTATCAGGGTTCCTGGAGCAAAGCATTTTCGCAACAATTTATTGCCATCAATGAGCATGCAGGAACGTTCTGAAAACTCAAATGGTTTTAATTCGTTTGGCTATATTTGTATTTCCTTAAAGCTGGAACGAAATGAAGCTGAAGCACCCGTACAAGTGCCAGAATAAAGGACTACTCAGTAATTTATTTTCACAAAT